AATTGTGTATGATGACTTATTTCACCGTATTCCTGGGATTATGTCATCGTACTCAAGGGGTTTAAGTCATCGTGGTGTTTCTCTCAGTAATTACCTGAGCGTTGTTATGGTGTATCGAGATATTATGTACCTGGAGGCGACGCCGAAGTGGTGGATGAGGGAAGGGGTTTTGTGGAGGTAGTGTAGAAGGCGCAGAAGGTGTGGTGGTGGGGGAGCAAAGTTGTTGTTTTTTGCAGTAGGAGAAGAAGAGAGAAGAGAAAGAGAGTAGAGAGAAAATGGAGAAGAGAGGACCAGCACTAACATACATACAGTACATACATACATACAAACATACATACATACAGTACATACATACATACAGAAGGAGAGGTATACATAACATGATGATCGTATTTAACAACAACAAACTTTTTTTTAATACATCAGTAAAAAAAAAATTCTTTCCCATTCTCTTATAATTCAGTTTTGAATATCCCGTCAAGCTCCCATTATTACTCCTAATTAAGCTGGTAAGTTAAAAGTTCAAGGTAGAGAGAGAGAGAGAGAGAGAGAGAGAGAGAGAGAGAGAGAGAGAGAGAGAGATAGTCTATTATCACCTGGGAGACATCGTACCCCATGATTGGCTGTCCTCGACTTGGAGCTACACCAGGAGCCCCAATCAACTTGTTTTTGGTTACCAGGAGCCGCCAATGAACGCTCTTGATGCTCTGACGTCACTTGTAAATATTTTGGACCCTACATATGATCCAGCTTCACTCTTAAGGATGAATATAGACGAGGAAGAAGATTAAAAGAATACACGATATAGGTAAACACTGTGATGATGATGATGATGATGATGGAACACAGGTGACGTGAAGAAGAGGAGAATTTATAGAAGAACCTAAAATAAAACAAATTAAATCCCCGTATAGTTGTAAATTTACCCCAAAAAATATTAAATTCTCGAGAAAAAAAACATAATGTATAATATTTTCTAAGACAGGAGAAGAAAATTATTGAAAAAATTAAAATCCAATTCGTGTATCAGGTCCAAAGTCCTTCAAGTCAAGACTGAAATAAGATCAAATTGGCACCTCGTAGCCGGGGAAGTGAGAGAGAGAAAAAGTGAGAGAGAGAGAGAGAGAGAGGCAAGTGAGTGTTGGACTGAAGCCTAACAGGTGGAAACAAAGCTCAGGTAAGTCTGGGCTTTCAAGGAGGTGGTGCATTGGACCCGCCAGCATCAGAAGGCAAGTGTGAAGGGAAACAGTCAATGATGGGGAAGGCTTTTTACTGGTTGGGAGTGTGTGTGTGTGTGTGTGTGTGTGTGTGTGTGTGTGTGTGTGTGTGTGTGTGTGTGTGTGTGTGTGTGTGTGTGTGTCTGTGTGTGTGTGTGTGTGTGTGTGTGTGTGTGTGTGTGTGTGTGTGTGTGTGTGTGTGTCTATGTGTGTGTGTGTGTGTCTGTGTGTGTGTGTGTGTGTGTGTGTGTGTGTCTGTGTGTGTGTGTGTGTGTACGGGTCACTTGATAGATGCTGCACGTGCCTGGCTCAGTTGCTGTGTGTCAGAACGTGTAGAGGATCTGAACAAAGGAAGACAGAAGACCTTGATTTTATTTTCTGATTGGAATACTGGGTGGGTGAGAGTGAAGTAAGATGATGTTGTACGTGGGAGGAGAGAGATAAAGGAGACATGAGAGAGAGAGAGAGAGAGAGAAGATTTATCCGATGCATAGTCAAGTGGGTGCCAACTGACGGTGAAGTTGCTGCAGGTGGTGAAGTTGCCGCAGGTGGTAGTGACGCCCTAAGATGGTACAATCCGTGGCTCATTATGGTCTACCTAATGTGTTGTTTGTGTCCTGCTAAGGGGGGGAGGAGGGAGGAGGAGGAGGAGGAAGGTGGGGAGAGTGAGAGAAGGAAGGAGGTAGGAGAAGGAGGAGGAAAGAAAAAAGATAGGGGTCAAGAAGAGAGGAAGCAGAAGGAAGAAGGAGGTAAGGGAAAGTGGGAGGTCCAGATAAAGGAGGAAGGTAAGGGTGGTGGGGGAGAGGGAGAGGGGGGTGAGAGTGACTGCTTATGACGTCAACAACACAGCCAAAAGGGGAAGGAGGGAAGGAGGATAGGGGAAGGGGGGATGGGTGGAGGGGGGAAGGGGGAGGAGGGAGAGGGAGAGAAGCCACACAGACTAGGGTACGAGGAGGTGTGTATGTGATGGTATAAAACTCTCATTTTTTTACTTCATCCGTTATTATCGTTTTTTTTTTCCTTTCTTTAACTCTTCAGTACCATGATTTAACTAACCCCCCCACAACAGTATGATGATTTAGCCCCACGAGTATAATAACAATAATAATAATAATAACAACAACAACAACAACAACAATAATAATAATAATAATAATAATAATAATAATAATAATAATAATAATAATAATAATAATAATAATAATAATAATAATAATAATAATAACAATAATAATAATAATAACAACAACAACAACAACAATAATAATAATAATAATAATAATAATAATAATAACAGCAATGTGTGTGTGTGTGTGTGTGTAATGTGGCAGCAATGTGTGTGTGTGTGTGTGTGTGTGTGTGTGTGTGTGTGTGTGTGTGTGCAGTGGTGCAGTACACAACACACACACACACACACACACACACCCCCACCCACCTCAACCCACTCACCCACCCACCCACCCCAAGGAGATGCAATGAAACACCTACCTTTTTTTTAATTCCTTTTTAAGAGCAGCGATACCAGAAACTTGCTTTAAACTGCGTAGATGATTGGACTCTTATACGCCTTGACGCACAAACCTACGCACGTCTATATGTCAATTATGAGTATTTATATCATGTATAAGGATATATACAATTTATGAGAAGGATATAGAACATTTATGAGGATATATACAATTTATGAGAAGGATATAGAACATTTATGAGGATATATGAGGTATTAAAAAAAAACCATTGGTATATTTATATCTCAGTTGGTGTTTACAAAAAGGTTCGAATCTAGTTGAGACCGAAGTAACGATTTTATTGCAGTTTTTAATGATACATCCAGTTATGTGCTCTCTTATATCATCATCTCCAGTTATAAGGGACATTTAACGAACGAATCTCTAGGGGGTCGTCAAGAGTGTAGCTAAAGGTTCCGACTCCGACTCCGACTCTGTTATGAAACACCAAACCAACTGAGCTCATCCAATATCATCTTGTTCTGTCCAGTCGCTCTTTCCGCCACAGTTAACCTCTCAACCAATATGTCTTCACCGTGAATGAGTTGAGTTGAAGGTCCAAAGGAGAAGAAAGGATGGCGCATAGATTGTTTTTTTTGACAAGTTACCCCTTAAAAAAATCTATTTAATTTTCTATGAATGAATTCTAGACCAAGACGACGATAAATTGAATAATAATGACACTAATAATAACGATAATAATAATAATAATAATAATAATAATAATAATAATAATAATAATAATAATAATAATAATAATAATAATAATAATAATAATAATAATAATAATACCACACACACACACACACACACACACACACCGATCATAATGACCTCGTGACCTCAATACACGGTGAGGTAGTGTGACCCAATAACAAGTGAATCGACCTCAAGAAGCAGTGATGTTGTTTACGTGTCTAAGACGTTCAGGGCCTCAGGTAACTATGGCCAAACAGTTAACCATTACGTTGTCCAGGTGAAGCCCCTAGAGCACCTAGAGGATGGCGCCGAGGAGGTGGTCTGTCACACACACACTCTTCCTCCGCAACTACCTGACGCAGAGGAGCACCCAGCGTTATGGAAAGATGGGATGGATGGTGGAAGACCTGCCCCCTAATCTTCCCTTCCTTTCCCCCCTCCTCCTCCTCCCCCTCCTCCTCCTCCTCTTCCTCCTCCTCCTCCTCCTTCTCCTACTCCTCCTCCACCACCACCCCCCCCCACACCGCTCACCCAAAAGAAAAACAAAGAAAAATCGTCGTCATCACTGCAGTATCTTACCACCCGAAGATGACAATATTTCCCACGAGGAGAGAATAATACCCACCAACTCCCCAGGTATCACGGCACAGACACATCACCTTGATATACCTGGAGTAGCGCAGCGAAATTCAATTAAAACTCAGGTAAGGAGAAATTGGCGAGCTGAGAAAGAGAGAGAGAGAGAGAGAGAGAGAGAGAGAGAGAGAGAGAAAGAGAGAGAGAGAGAAAGAAAGAGAGAGAGAGAGAAAGAGAGAGACAATAATAATACACAGATATAATCGTAACCACAAGTCCTTCCCGTAAAGCACAAATGACACACTCTCGCTGGTATCATGTAGTAATCTGAGTCAATCATGGATGTAGATAAGGAAGATAAGACGGAGGATAGCGAGTCAAGACAATGAGATAATAGTGAAGGCTGACGTATAGAACAAGGAGATGTGTTGTTATGCCTATAGTAACTCCACATTACCAGCGTCATAAGGTTGTGGTTACTCCCCCCTGTGAGCTGGAGCATATCCTCTGATGTTGGTTGGGTTTTTCCTTCAGGGGATGGCACCATGTATGCAGTCTGAGTTCCTTTGCTTCCAATCTCTCTCTCTCTCTCTCTCTCTCTCTCTCTCTCTCTCTAGTGGATCGTAATCAGTCAGGTCAAACTAGGCAGAGAAATTGGTCTTGGTATACCCGACTTGTTTATTGTTTCTGGGTCACAGTGTTAAAGGTCGTGGCATTAAGTTTACACACACACACACACACACACACACACACACACACACACACACACACATACACACACACACGCACACACACGAGTATCTAAACACCAAAACAACAACGTAAAACACCACTTCAGTTTGTCCTCCCTAATGCTCGCATCATTAACGATTACCGGGAGCTGGCGAACGTTCGTCTAGCGCAGATTCCATAAGCGAACTACTTTTAGCTTTGAGAATAAACGAAGACAATGTTGAGTTAAGACTAAGAATAAACAAATTAAGTTTTACTGTGTACTTACGGGAGAGGATGTTATAGCTACTGATGTTCACTCCGAAGACAAAAGCGGCCTGTAAGAGAGAAGTTATCTTATTTACGGCTCTCTCTCTCTCTCTCTCTCTCTCTCTCTCTCTCTCTCTCTCTCTCTCTCTCTCTCTCTCTCTCTCTCCACAGGTAAACAATCACCACACCAACACGCAGGTAAATACATCACAACTCACAACATTATAACTTTCCATTATAGATATATTATACTGGGGTTACCTGTATGGGAGTGCTTACCTGTGGTCGTAGGTAACGTTAATGAGGGTTTATGAGGTAATTGGTGTATTTTGAAGGGGTGTGTGGTTTGTCTTGTTGACGTAGAGATGACCCGGGGATTGAGAAGGGTGTGGGGTGACGTACGATGTAGGTAGGTAAATATGTGTGTAGAGCGAGTGGGGCGTCCTGAATGTGGATGTCTTGGAATGTGGGCCTCCTGGAATGGATGCGAGTGTGGGCGTCCTGAATGTGGATGTACTAGAATGTGGACCTCCTGAATGTGGATGCGAGTGTGGGCGTCCTGAATGTGGATGTACTAGAATGTGGACCCCTGGAATGTGGATGTGCGAGTGTGGGGGCGTCCTGAATATGGATGTAATACTAGGAATGTGGACCTCCTGAATGGATGAGTGTGGGGCGTCCTGGAATGTGGATGTCCTGGAATGTGGGCCTCCTGGAATGTGGCTGTGCGAGTGTGGGCGTCCTGGAATGTAGATGTCCTGGAATGTGGATATCCTGGAATGTGGATGTACAAGAATGTGGACCACCTGGAATGTGGCTGTGCGAGTGTGGGCGTCCTGGAATGTGGATGTCCTGGAATGTGGATATCCTGGAATGTGGCTGTGCGAGTGTGGGCGTCCTGGAATGTGGATGTCCTGGAATGTGGATGCCCTGGAATGTGGATGTCCTGAAATGTGGTTGTGCGAGTAACCTAGAGTGGGAGACGGATGGGGGAGAGGTGACGGGCGTGTGTTGCAATGTGGGCGTGGAGGAAAGGTGATGAGGCGTGGCGAGACATCATTAATCAACGGCGACCATCACCTGCACGGGAGAACTGTGTCACCTGGTGTGTGTGTGTGTGTGTGTGTGTGTGTGTGTGTGTGTGTGTGTGTGTACTCAATATCCACCTCCTCCGCCACAACATATACTCAAATGAAATTAATTATACCCATTAAAAATATTTGACCACATTTTCTAATAATAGGATAAACAACAAAATTAAATATAAATAAAACTTTTAAAAATACAAATAAAAACTTTTAAAAATACAACTACTTAAAGAGACATAGTAAACTAAAACTCAATTACCACACGATGTTAAAGAGGTAAGATAGTTATATACAGGCCAGAGAGGTGAATAACCCATCTACTTTAAATAGAAGAGAAGCCTTTAAGCGCCCAATATTATCCTGTAATAACTATCTTCTTTACCCCCCCCCCACCCACCACCCCACCCCCCCACACCCCCACTCCGTCAAAAATCGCCACTCGAGAAAAAGACGAGAGAGAAATATTGTCACATCTACCTAGAAAAATTCCATTATTTCAGGATTATATATATGTATGTATATATGTATGTATGCATGTATGAATGTATGTATGTATGTATGAATGTATGTATGTCTGTTTATCGTATCCATTGTATACTTGAAGTCAGCTTTTATATCACAAAGTCTAATTAATTATCATTGTTGGAACACCTGCCGCAGAAACATACCTGATTAATTATTTGATATCGTATAAATAAATAGAGAAAGTTAAAAGAAAATAAAGAAAGAAAAAAGAAAGTAAAGAAAAGAAATATAAATGAAAAAGAAAAATTAATAAATAAATAATAATAAATGAAAATAAATAAATAAATACAAAGAAGACAATAAAAAATAAATAAATAAAAATAAAAGATAATAAGTAGAAACATACCCACAAAAACACTCTAAACACACACACACACACACACACACACACACACACACACACACACACACACACACACACACACACACACACACACCTATCACTCTCTACCTCTCTAAAACACACAAACACACGCAACAAACTCAACTACAATCTAACCCCCAAAAAAAAAAAACACCCAAACAAACTCCATTTCTCAGTAAAGGTTAGAAAACAAACTTTGAAACAAAAAACTCACAGAAAGCGTAGTGAATATGTGCTCTCTCTCTCTCTCTCTCTCTCTCTCTCTCTCTCTCTCTCTCTCTCTCTCTCAAACTAGTACTATTACATAAGAAAATGATAGACAGATAAACTTTATTTTTTTTTTATTTGGTAACATGACATCGCCCTTGGATACGACCCACGAGTACATACGATCCCTGAGTACCTATACGACCCCTCAACACGATCCTTTGAGTACTTACGACCCATTAGTTTCTACACGACCACTGAATACAACCCATGAGTACCTATAAGACCCCTACACACTACCACATAAGTACTAATACGACCCCTGAATATAACCCATGACTACCTACGACCTCTTCACACAACCCACGAATACCTACGACCCCTTCACACAACCCACGAATACCACGACCCCTACACACTACCCCATAAGTACTAATACTACCCATAAATATAACCCATGACTACCTACGACCCTCCACACAACCCACGAATACTACACGACCCCTCCACACAACACACTAATACCTACGACCCCTCCACACAACACACGAATACCTACGACCCCTCCACACGACCCACGAATACCTACGACCCCTGAATACAACCCATGACTACCTACGACCCCTCCACACGACCCATGGACATAATTAAAGACACGAACCAAGAAATTTATACTCAGCAACCATTAACCTTACTGAGAGGATTAAAAAAAAGAGAGAAGTTTGACTCAGCAATTGGAAATACCTGGAGTCAAAGTTTTCACCTTAGTCCAACATTATAGTGACCTAGTGAGAAGACTTTACCCAACTCTGGTACGTAATTCGACAACGAGGAGTTTATCTACATCCGGGTTGGGTTTCAGGGGGGAGGGGTGGGGGTGGGTTGGGGTGGGGCAGAGTGGGGTGGTAATTTAGGGAGAGAAGGGGAAGGGGTAATTGATCTCATGGGCAACTCTCTCTCTCTCTCTCTCTCTCTCTCTCTCTCTCTCTCAAGCCACACCATTAAGCTATCACTAAACGTTGTTAACTCACTCAGAAAATCAAATATAATCTGTCGTTTGTGGCGAGAGATATTACACATACACACACACAAACTGAAAATGCATACATACATACATACATACATACATACATACATACATATATACACTGATGTAATATAGGAGGGGGCTTACCCTCATATGCCTATACATGGGGGTTAAATGAGGTGGTTAGAGTGTATACGACTAACCTGCTAACTTTAACAAGATAATGGGTCATAATTCTTGACCTCAGCCACACTACACTACACTACACTACACTACACTACACTACACTACACTACACTCAATGGACCTTCTCTTCTCATTACCGTCCAAAAATATGTGAGTGTGTGTGTGTGTGTGTGTGTGTGTGTGTCGGGAGTTACAGGGGTCAACACACCATTGACCGCCTTCCATATCGTGAGCTTCCTGTAATGTGTAGCATTACAGCGGTACAAGACCCTGTAATACACACACACACACACACACACACACACACACACACACACACATACACACATTTATTTTCCAAAGCATTAATCAGCATTCTATTTATGGTTAGGTTAGGAATTATCACCATCTCTCTCTACTTGGTCACTTCACAATCACATCAGCTTGTCAGTTTGATCCAGGTCTAATTTAAGGTGCGAGAGTCAGGTGAAAATATAACTCCAGGTAATTAGATTAGCTTCATTAAGAGATGTGTCGCTGTTATTCAGGTAAGCTTAATTTGGTATTACCTTTATATACAGTATATAGGATGTCCCAGAAATATGTCCTTCCCTCCCTTCTGTCCCTCCCTGCCTCCCTCCTTCCTTCCCTCCCTGTCTCCCTCCTTCCCTCCCTGCCTGCTACCTCCTTCCTCCCTTCATTCCTCTAATTCGCAGTGTTTCAGGGAGCAGACGGGCATGGAGAGAGGTAGGGAGGCATACAGCAGGCAGGGAGGAGACAAGGAGAAAACAGGGAAGGGGGCAGGCAGGGAGCAAACAGGGAGGGAGGCAGGCAGGGAGCAAACAGGGAGAGAGGTAGGCAGGGAGCAAACAGGGAGGGAGGTAGGCAGGGACCAAACAGGGAGGGAGGTAGGCAGGGACCAAACAGGGAGGGAGGTAGACAGGGAGAAAGCAGGGAGGGAGGAGACAGGGAGCAAACAGGGAGGGAGGCAGGCAGGGAGCAAACAGGGTCTTCTTTCTGAGACACTCTATCGACCTGTATGTATAGTTATCATGCCATAACCCAAGTACTGGAAAAAGACACCACCAACTCCTTGCTTAGGGTGGCACCTTCCTCCACTCCCGTCTTGTCAAACTTTTGTAGTGAATAATTTTTTTTTTCTTTCTTTCCGCGAAGCTCAGGAACTCCTTTCAGGGAACACCGCCACCTGGAGCATCACTAATTAAATTTACACCTGAGAAAAAAAAATTAACCAACTTTTCAGGTAAAATTATAAGGCAAAATCCGTTCAAAATAAAGTTATTGTTTACTCGAACTAAATAAAAAAATAGAAATTGGTTGTATTACGATTTTTTTTTATTTTTTAATTGTCGTAATTTTACGTTTGTTTAGATATCTCAGTCTTCTCGTGTTCCTGTGCCAACCTCTTCCTCTTCTTCTTCCTCCTCCTCCTCCTCCTCCTCCTCCTACCTCCTCCTCCTCCTCCTCCTCCTCCTTCTCCTAAGTAAAATGTGACGTCATCCTGAGCCAGAAAGTAGGTTACGTGCTGAACTAAACCTGGCCTGCCGAGGTGATACGAAGTTACAGGTAAACGAAATTAACTCAGGTAATGCGTCGGTCACCTAAGTCTTGATCCATCACAGAGTAGTTACAGGTGGGCTTTCTCCAGGTAAATTGTAAAAGGAAGTTCAT